ATATATATATATATATATATATATATATATGCGCATAATATAACAATATCGAACTGTACATTTAACCTTAGTTAAGGATCGAAGGAGAGATAGAGAAAACATGAAGCACTGTGCTGTGAGTTATGAACTTTTAATTTTATTTTATATTTTATCCTTTTATTTTTCTTTATTCTTTTCATTTTTTTTCTCTTTTTTCTCTTTTTTTTTTTAATCTTTTAAGTAAAAAGAACAAAAAAGAAAAGAGTATCGACATAATCGGAATCTTAGAGGAGAAATTTGTTTAAATCCGAGGGGGGGGGGGATGACATCACTGCACAGTGACGAATTCATTATCGAAAATATGAAATTTCCGCCTTTCGATTCCATCGTGATGATAATCGATACTGTGGGTAGAAAACAGGACTGTTCTAGGACAAAATTGTACAGTTGTAAAGTGAAAGACGTAACCCTAGACTGAACGTACCCAAATATCGATTTTCGTCGCTTTGCTGATAGTCTGAGATCTTTTCTTTTAAGGATTGTTCTTTTGCGCTCAAATTTCCCTTTGTTATTTTTTGCTAAATACAATTAGAGAGGCGTCTCCGCGACAAGAAATTTTTTATTTGAAACTGAACATTCATTCTGAAGTACAAAACTCTTTTAAGAGGTGATTTAGAGGAAGAATGTATAAAGAGAGAAAGAGTGGGAGAGAGCGAGGAGGGAGAGAAAGAGAGAGCGAGCGCGCGCGAAAGAGAGAGGGAGAGAGAGAGAAAGAGCGAGAGAGAGAGAGAGAGAGAAAATAAGCTGATGTAGAGAAACAAAAAGAAATTAGTATGGGAGGAAAATCGTAGGCTATTTTTTGTAAAGAAAACATTAAAGAAACAAATTAATGAAATGCGTAGGTTGCCTGCATTTTTTTATTTTGGTTCTTGGAATTTCTAGACTGTTGTAATTGTTTCATACTCGTACTAAAAGAACAGAAATGTTATTTTTTTTTCTAAAAATTTATTTATTTGCGTTGTAAATTTGTTGTTTTTTTCTTTTCTTTTATTTTAGACCAGTGATCCATGATTTTGTTGTAATTTTTTTTTTCTTTTTCTTACTTTGACGAATGTAAACAGTACATTTGATTAAGGACCCATTTAATTCGCCCAGTGTATACAGCGGTGTAATTTAAGGTTAGCGTGTTGTACAAAAATTTCATATCGAAATTCTCGCGTACTTGTCGTGTGTACATATATATATTAAATACTTTAATTAATTATCATATTTCTTATTGGGAGTTCCTCGTTGTAATATGAGTTGAAGTTTACTTGGCTCTTGTATATTTCGCAGACTTTAAACTCACCATTTGATACTCTATCTGAAAGGAATACACACAACGAATTACTACCACTTCTCTCGGTCGAGGGAAATATTTCTAACTGAGAAGAGTTTAAATTTTGCCGAAAAACTGTGAAGGCCATAGAATATTTCGTATTTTTCGCTGATCTCTCTTTTCCTGTATGCAACAGCAATTACGAACAGCATCGTACAAGCAATTATCGAGTCGAATGTTTAACACGATACTAATAGGGGAAGAAAAGTATTTTAGTCGATATACCGGTGAATCCCATTAATATTCGGGAATATTTCAACACTGACTGTCGAAACTGTCGTAATTTTGCAAGAAAGAAACTGTACAACAATGAACTTGGTCTCATTTTAAAGCTTGAAGCCTGTACCATCAAAATGCATCGTTCATCTTTATTTATTTTAGCAGACGGCGAAGTGAAAACACTTTTTGTTCTCGAAGATACTATAAATTCTCGTGTTATGCAACGGGTTTAAAGATCGAAGTTTACGACTACTGGAAACTTGCTGTACGATCTTTTTTTCGCCAATTTATTGAACTTTCTACTTATTTTATATTCTACTTATTTTATAAAAGTATAAAATGTACAACTAAAAAAATATATATATATATATATAAAACGAAATATATATATATATATATAAAACGATGAAAATGTTACTCTTTCTTGAATTTTCGTCGTCTAATCCTAATATCGAAGCTCAATAAACGAAAAAAGAATCGTGGATTAAGTTTTTACAAGTTGTAAAGAGAAGGCTTCAATCTTCAAAGTCGTTGTAGACTTAGCCACGAAGAAAGTTTTCCAATACTGTGACAATTTATAATATTTTCGAAAAGAGTAGTTTCTTCACCTGCTATGATACACATTTTAGAATAAAATGATAATTTTAGAATAAAAATCTTTAAGCTTTGAAATGAGCCCAAGTTATTATATATATATATATATAATATATAATATATATATATAATATATATCAAAAAAGTTAATAAAGTTAATAATATATATATAATAACTAACATATATATATGTTTGTATTATATATATATATATAATGTTCTTTACAAGATTATATTTATTATATATATATAAGTTATATATATAAATTATTATATATATATGTTTTCTTTACAAGATTATATTTATTATATATATTATATATATATATGTTATTATATATATTATATATATATAAGTTATTATATATATATTTTTTTTTTCTTTACAAGATTATATTTATTATATATATATATATGTTATATATATAAGTTTTATATATATATATGTGTGTTTTTTCTTTAGAAGATTATAACATTTTCAACATTTAATGTCCAAATATTAATGGGATGTGTTTGGCTTAGTGGTTAAAGAATTGTTTCAGAAAACTGTTCGAGGTACTGGATTTCAATCGCTCGCACAGACAGAGACAAAGTATTTTCTAAAAGCGTAAAAGTGAAAAATCATGTACAATTATGTGATTTCGATGACAACTGTTTCGGTTAAATGAAAGGACATTTAATCCGCATAGTGCCTCGAAGGATCAACAAGAGCGAGTTTTTAAGTAACCTTCATGTTTCGAACACAAAAAGAAATTGATGTAAATTAATAGATTCTCAGTTTCATTACACACATTTTATGTAAACATCGAGGTTAAGCCACATTACATACGTATGCCGTACTACATGCTTAAAGACACGAAATTTTTAAATCGATACGATATCAAAGATTTAGAGAGATCTCTGACTTAGGGAATATAGTATATATAAGGGAAATGAAATACAGAGAGGGGCGAGTTTTACAGAATTCCCGGTGCGTTCTTATGGATCTTACTAGCGATAGGAGGAAAGGAAAAAAAAAAAAAGTATAAAACTACAGTATGTCGAGCTCTTCAAACTATTTCCTGTTTAAACTTGCGTTTATTTGGCTGCAGCTTTTACCGACGAAAACAAAAAGAGAGGGGGAAAAAAAATATGCAAAACAAACGGAAAAGTACTTGTCATTCGATTACCGGACAAAGAATTAAAACGAGCGATATTTTTGGCATTTGGTATTCCTTTATACTTTAGCCGATATTTTGTAATAAACATGTATACTAGTGTAAGTTACTTGCGTTAATCGGGTGATGCGAACGTGAGATAAAGATGTGTACAGCTTTGCGTTTATCACCTGGTTAAGCAACACTGTGAAACTTGTACATATTTTTGTAAGATAAATTTAAGTATGGACGTCCCCTTTGAGACTCTCGAAAGCAAAGATGTGAACACCCAATTAAGAGCCGAATGGAAATATAGATAGATACGACGGAGAACGTAACAGGAAATATAACAGGAAACAGAAGTGCTGTAATACAATTGCTTTTTGCGGTTATAACACATACACATGCGTTCAGCTTTGTAATGTATTCTATTCGTTGTATAATTCTCTCTGGTTGCTCTTGACGTATTTGTAAAACGGACATTCTGATAAAGTGACAAAGGCGTTATGTTGTTACATATAACAGGTGTAAGTAAGACGTGTTAGAGAGATGAGAAGGCAGAAAACCTAGCAAAAAAAAACTCGTTAGTACAATAGTTTCAATGTTGTAAATAAAACAGATCAATAGCTATTATTATTATTATTATTATTATTATTATTAATTATTATTATTAATAATTATTATTATTATTAATTATTATTATTAATAATTATTATTATCAATTATTATTATTATTATATTATATGTAAATATATATATATATATACATATACATATATATAATTATATGTAAGTATATAATTATATATATATATATATTAAAGAAAAACGTTCGTCTTTATAACAATACCGGAACACATGATTTTTTTTTATTTGCAATTCACTGTTAACATGTATGTGCCTAGTTATTAGCCACGTTGCATTATATTCTACATTGTATAATAATTTAATTCGTATTAACGATTATTGAATGTAACAAGTTCTTCGATATCAAACTCTATTATGAATATAATATTATGACGTAACGTGTAAAGAGCTCATATTTAGGCATACATGAAATTTAATAAATCGGAATACATTTTACGAATTAACAAGCCCTGACGTTCACTCTTTTTCCTTCATCTCTCTCGTGCACGTACGTAACATTCGTTCTTATTTTGATTTGTCTTATGGCATGTTATCTCGTAATGAAAGCAAGCTTTAGTTTTATAACAAATCAATTGTTGCCAAGCATAAATAACCTGCTCGAAGCAAACAATGTATTTTCATTCTCTTATCTTCTTATCTGTCCTTTTTTTTTCTCTTTTTTTTCAAAGAAACGCTCGAAATCCCGCCATGGCAGTTCATGCGTTTCGATTGATCGAGTTTCGTGTACGTCACCACCGATAATCACCGGCAATTGGCCGAGACAGGCGGCAGGCGTCTGCTATGACAGTCGAGTCAGCGGCGTCCGACGCAGTGATCAGCAGACGGCACGATGTCTTCATCCTCACAGGTTCGGCTGGACGCAACAGCTGTAGAGAATTTTCGCGAATATTTACGGATACCCTCCGTCCAACCAAACATCAATTACGGTAAGCAGCCTCGCATATTCGATTTTTCTAACGTTCGTTCTGGTTCGGTCATTGTGACTGAGAAAAGGATGCAAATATTCTCTCTCGGTTTTCACGCTCGTACGTGTTCGAGCATACGTCCGAGAGATCGTGTAAAAATCGTGCACGCATGTTGGTGTACCGGAACGGGGTCGGTCATTTCCTTGTTAAGTAAATTGTCTGTTTCTCGCGCGGCATGGAGAGCCTCGAGTCTCGAGCCACGTTGAACCTGAACGCAAATTCACGATATTCACGCGTTTCCGCATAGGGACATGAGCGAATCTCAGTCAGTTTGCTTAACCAACTCAACTTCGAAGCGTCGGAGACGCTATCCAGCCATTGCATGCCCCACCCTCTGTGTGGAATGTTATTTCTATTTTTGTTTTTTTTTTCTCCTCTAATTTATGTCAACGTATGTTCGGATCGTTTGCAAGATTGTCACCGAACTTTTCGGGGCTCGCTTTTCGAGAAATTCAGTGGCTTGGGTTACGATCGCATTGTTCACCTACGAACTCGTGACCGACCTAAATTACATGTAATTCCTCTTAATCCTGGTGTTGCCCCGTTTTTTTGGTATCTGTTCAATTTACCGGCGATAACGAATTATCGGAGCAATGATTGTACTGCAAATACTGGATTTTACATGATTTATTGGAGTATTAAAATTAGAGTAATTAACGGTCGGTGTTCCCGTAAATCTCTTCGCAAGGAATGTTAATTATCGCAAGTGATAAGATAATTCCTTTCGTTATAAACAAGGTAAGATATCGGATATATTTAGATATATTTAGAAATTCTGGATTCCTAACTTGTTGATATTTCGGTTTAATTAATTTAACTTTATGCTGAAGTTTGATATTTATGTGTCAAGTTACATATATACATTACACTATTAACTGATACTACTAATTCAAACATTTTACTTTACAGATGACTGTGTTACATTCCTCCGAAAACAGGCAGAGTCTCTCGATCTGCCTCTTAAAATATATTATATCCAAGCTAATAAACCAATTGTGGTCATCACATGGCTAGGAACAGAGCCAGAAAAGCCATGTATTTTATTAAATAGCCACATGGATGTTGTACCTGTTTTTGAAGTATGTATGATAACATTAATGTCTCACAAGGACATTAACTTCTCAGATGTAGCATAGAACTTTGCTGTTTCATTTGTTCAACAACGTTTTTTGTTCTTTAATATGAATATAATTTAATATAATATATATAATATATATATATTTAATATAAAGTATTAGAGTAGCAAGCTATACAATGGGACATACTTAAAGATGTATAAACAGATTTGACCTCTAACTTCTGGGAAACAAATGTGTATAGTGAAATTATATAATATATTGATAGACCTGAGAAATTAATAAGAAATTAGAAGAAAACAGTCTTGAGCATGTTTCATTTGGAATAAAATAGTAAATAGTAGTTTTAAATAACGAATTATTTGAATTAATTGATTGTTATTTTAGAAACAATTTAAAAATTAACTTTATTTATTATTTTATTATTTAGTGAAATTCAAGTAAATTATTACAAAAAAAATTGTCATTTTAATTAATTTGGTCATTCAAATAAAATGATAAATAATCTGAAGTAAAAGATTATCTGTTGATGACATTGAAATAATATATAGTTATTTAAAATACAATAGAACCTTATTTATCCAAACATATCAAAGGACAAGAGCCTTCTTCTATTTGGATAATAAGAGATAAGGATAACAAACTCAAACAATTGTGATTTCGTATATCTGAGATTTAACATTAACTGATTAGTGATTAAAGGAGGTTCGGATGATCAATGTTTTATTATAACTAAATAAGATAATATATTATTTAATTTATTATAACTAAATAAGATAATATATTATTTAATTCATCATTTTTTAAACATATTATTTAAATAATGCTCAAGCCTGGAAGCAAGAAAGATGTAAACAGTTGAATGTATTTAACGAATAAAACTTTTCAGGATAAATGGACTTATCCGCCATTTAGTGCTCATTTAGATGCAGAAGGAAATATTTATGCTCGTGGCAGTCAGGACATGAAATGTGTTGGAATTCAATATCTGGAAGCAATTCGCCGTTTGAAACTTGCTAAACAACACTTTAAAAGAACAATTCATATCTCTTTTGTACCTGATGAAGAAATAGGAGGGTTTCTTGGCATGAAAGATTTTGTACATACTAAACACTTTGAAGGTTTAAATATTGGTTTTGCCCTGGATGAAGGTGTAGCTTCACCTGAGGAATTTTTTTACATGTTCTATGGTGAAAGAGCAATTTGGCATGTTGAAGTAAAATGCCAAGGCACTCCTGGCCATGGATCCATTTTGCATGATAGCACAGCTGGTGAAAAGATAAGAGTCATAATCGATCGTTTTATGGACTTCAGAGCTAAGGAGAAAGAAAAATTGAAAGATCCGAAAAAGGAGCTTGGCGATGTTACAACCATAAACTTAACGCAACTGAAGGTTTGCAATCTTTTAAAGTTTGTCACTTAGCTAATATTTTATTGCATATTAGATTAGAATTTTCTTATCTTATTATTTGATTAAAGATGTATTTTAAATATTACATGTCTGTGCATTTAGGAAAATATTACACAGTGAGTATTTTGACAATTCAATAATTTTTTAAATGATTCTCGTGCTAAAAAAATAAATTAATAAAAATTGAATTAATTTTAAAATTAATTAACGATTGATTGACGATAAAATTTCATATTTCGTGTTTTACCAATAACGCAAAAACAATTTGTTTCAGGGTGGCGTACAAACAAACGTAGTGCCTACTTCGTTGTCGGTAATTTTCGATATTCGAATCGATCCTTCTATTGATCACACCGAGTTTGAAGCTATGATCAAGAAATGGTGCGAAGAAGCTGGAGCCGATGTTACGTATTCGTTCGAACAAAAAGATCCTAAAATCGAAAACACAAAATTGGACAATTCCAATCCTTTCTGGCTTGCTTTTAAGAAAGCTTGTGACGATCTTGAAATAAAATTGCAAATAGGTATTTTTCCGGGCGGAACAGATAGTCGATATATAAGACAGGTAAATATCTCTTCTATCAATTTTGTATTGGTGTAGGTAATTTTTTAAAAATCTACTTTTCATTACAGGTTGGAATTCCTTCCATTGGTTTTTCGCCCATGAACAAAACGAAAATTCTTCTTCATGATCATGATGAATATCTAAACAAAGATATATTCTTAAAGGGCATTGAAATATATATGAAAATAATACCGGCAGTAGCAAATATTTAAGGTGATATTAAGCCCTCAAAACCACATGCATTTTAGAAGTTTGCACATTTAAAAAAGACCAAAGTTATAAGACTAAGAACAGTAGGAGTTAAGAAGAATTTTAAACGTACAATTTTAAAAGTACAAATTAACATGATATTAATGTGGCAAACTAAATAAGAAGTGCAATAATGCATACAGATAAAAATAAGTTAAAAATAGAAAGTTATATAAAATTCAGATATTTATAATTGTTATAAAAATATACTTATATTGTTATCAAGTTGTTAATAATTGAAAGATTTATAGAAAATCGTAAAGTTCTAGAAACGTGCAATTATGAAGGGCTAATTTAACGTGCAGTCAGTCTCGATGATTAAAAAAATAATTTGAATCAAGCTGAATAATGAAAAAACAAAAACGAATAAATGAATTAAAAAGTAAAAGTACATCATTGAGAAACAACAAATCGAGAATCCGATCAAGAGAAATAAAACACAGAACCGACCTAAATCAGGTACTGAGAAGCGTATTTATCAATTTTTTTAGTAAATTACACGAATCAAGCCCGAATTCAATAAAAGACATCAGATTCTAACTCACGTGCCAATGTTAAAAAGTAAAAAACAATATATATTTAGTTATTTTTTTAATTTTCCGTATAATCACGCTTGGTAGTTATGCAGTGCTCAATTGCTCAAAAAAATTTATATTATATACATATAATGTTTGAACGATGATATATAAATATAAACATATATTTTATATAAACTACGGGCAGAAATTGTGTCTGTAGTAATTATATATTTTTTTGCATAATACAACAAATATATTTATCAATGAAAATAGATTTAAGAAAACCTCTATTGATCTCAGTGGTAGTATATATATCGGAAGTTGATATTTTTTGCGAGATTATGTAAAAAGTTGAATGTACTGTTATATTTTTACCTCATATCTAATTTGGGACAATGCGTAAAATTTTGTTTCGCAGGATAACAAGGTGCTGCATGTTTCCTCTTCGCAAAGTCGATACGTACGCGCGTGTGTGTATTCCCGCCATTATTGCCTGTGGTTCATTCTTAACGGGACTGCCGCCCTCCCCTTCCTATTAGAACGATGGACTCGTCCAATGTTTTCGACCTCCTGTTACGGAGCGTTTTCGCAATTTTGACACAGATTGTAGCGTATTTCTCATTTATGCAACAGCAAAAAATAGAAGGATTTTTTTAAGCGAAGTGAAAACGTAAAATCTATCGAAACGCAATGAGAGTGAATGATTTTTCACGGATTGTTTGGATTCGGCCATTTTGAAGTAGGGAAGGTAGGGAAGAAGACGTGCAATCGTTGCCATTCATAACGCGGATAGTGTAGCGTGTATAGGTGTGATCGCTGATTTAACGAACGATCGTCAGTAAAAATATCATCATTTCGGGTGGAGATAGTAATTCGGTAAAGAAATAGAAAAGAAAGTTCCCTGGTACGTATCCCTTTATCAGTCATGTATATAAGTATATCGTTTAAAATGTCCTCGCAACCCGTACTGAACGGCCAATGAGAGGAGGGCGGCAAAGCCACGTGACCATGGCCGGCCAATCGCTAGGACGAGATTTGAAATCGTGCGTGGTCTTTGTTCACAAGCCTCCCGTCAACGTTGCCTCAGTTCCGTAAAGGGGGCCTTGTGTCGGTGTCCGTTTATACATGGTCGCTGCCAAAAATCGCATAATTCTCTTGTAAATATATGTGTGAAAGTGGTGCTTGCCCGCGAGGACGACGTACTTTAAGGATTGTCAGACACACGGTAGGTCTGATTACGCTTTATTACGGTGCCGTTCACGCGAGTCTAGCCGAAAAGATTATGAAAAAAATATTCTGTGCTGTTTGCCGGCCCGCCGAGCCGTTCTATCTCCCGAGTGTCAAGGTAGTACGAGGGGGCAGTCATGATGCTTTCGACGTGAATTTTTTTTTCCCCTTACCTTTCCCCGTGTACAGTGTGTATTACAGTAAGTGTATTCTCGTGACGATTGATAGTCATGAGTTAATTTGTCAGCAATTGGGTGATACTTCTCTTTTCTTTTTTTTTTCTTCTCGCCATTGCACATTGCCGGTATTTTTAGCGATTGTTTTAGAACGCGATCAAATTCGGGATCAGCATCGGAAGATTCATACATTTGCCGCGCTCCGTCGATTCGATGGCGTAGGCGGCTGCGAGTGTATCACTGGCAATTATTTATTAACCGTGCAAACGCCTCGCGCGGAAATAAACAACCCGGCCCGTGTGCCGAATCGAGTTGAATGAGTGATTCATCGTGGACAGAAGGCAGCTCGACGTGCAACTTTCGGCGGGAAGAGAGTGAACGTATTACTAGGAAACCTCACTGATATAATATGTATTTCCGGTGATGAGAGCCATTGTTTTGCCGCTCAATGCAATTCCATATTTGCACTTGTAACAAGATGAATCGTCGAATTTTGACTTAACTGTCCGTTTTCGGAGAGGGGAAACAATTGTGTGCACGAAAATCGTTTTCGGATGTCACTCCTATCGAAAAAAAATTTAATTTCGTCTTAAGTCGGTATCGCATATGCATGTGTAAATTATTATTGATTTCTAATTGCACATCAAATTAACATTGCATACGTCGTTTACTGGTTTTATTGATGCTTGCGCTGGTTGTATAACGTTATTTCACGCATGAATTATCGAGAAGGAATTACCAAAAAAAAATATATAAAACTTATTTATAGAAATTATAAAACTTTTTATTATTTTTTTTTTTAATCTACGTTGCAATGTATGATATATTTTTTTTATAAATATAACTACCAGCAATCGAAAACAATCAACGAAGTTAGCTGAAAGTTGTTTCCCTCATCTTGGTGACAAGTAATCAATAACAGGGCTAGCAATTAAAACTGATTATTCTTGATTAGGAGGATCTGTATAGGGAATGAGGTGTAATAAGGATTTTGATGAGAAGTAGGAAGCAATGATGAATTGGAACGTACAATGGAGTCATTGTGATTTTTGTCTGAATACGAGTAACGGTATAATATCGGCCGGGGAGGATATATTGGCTTTTCGTCGAATCACGGTCACAAAAGAAGGATATTTTTCGAAAATATTGCGAATAACGAATGAACAGCAGGGAGAGGGCCCCTCGAGCACTTTCAAGCCTTACCGCCACGAAAGCTATTGACCGTGGGAACCTTCTGGGAACCCTACCCCTCGCCATATGCCCACCGCAGGAAATAATCCTACAGGCTCGACCGAAATTTACTACCTCGCCGTGCTTCGTGTTCACGAAATGATTATTATTTGTCACTAAGGAACGTTCTTTCGTTCGTGCTTTGCTCGATTCTTTCTTTTTTTTTTTTAGTATTTTTTTTTTTCTCTAAAAAAAAAAATGCACTTCGGCGCGATCATCGACTACTCGTTTACAAATTTTACGATTTCACTTTCAGTCGAGTGTAATTTAATTCGCCATCTTGGTGAATTATTAAAAACAGTGTGACTTTTAATGTCTCCTTTTCCTTTTTTTTCCTACTTTGTTTATCAAAGGATCAGGATGCTAGGCATGAGCATTTGATTCGCACCATTGTTTAGAAACGAAACCGAGAGAGTGACGCGTTAGAAAGTTTTGAAAGATACGGAAAGATAGCTGTGAAAAAGAAGTTTGCGAATTACGCTTTCGTGCTGTGGGTTCTCCTGCGATTATCGGCGGGAATTCTCTCATGACGTGATTTTTTCGAAACGTGACGATGTTCAACAAACGATCGAATGTCTTCGGGCGAAACAATGTTTTTGTTCGTTCAAACGTATTTTCAGGGTAATTCTGTGGTACTTTATTATCGTAAGCTGTGGTATCATAGACTGCCCCCAATTTTCATTTCCTTCCACCTTTCTATTTTTATATCTTTTAATACATTTGCTATTATTCAATTACGTCTGATTTTTATTATCAATATATGAATAAAATATAAAAGTAATATATATATAAATATATATATATAATATATATATTATATATATATAAATTGATTTTTATTTCTTTTTATAACGCAATAAAATTTAACCATCTGCTAGGCTTCTAGGTTAGTTGGTAAGTTTCGATATTTGTACTCGAGGATTGAATCGAGATGAGAGATCGATTTTGCTTTCTGCGTTGGTGTTGCAATACGCAAGCAACATGTAACTCGCAAGTGTGCAGAGAAATTCGCTTTGTCGAATGTAGATTGCGTGCACGCGCGCGAAATTTTTCAAGAAATTAAATCGGTTCACCCGGTGAAAGTTAAAATGCTTTCAAACACAACGGAAAGAGTGAGTAGTGCGACTGAATTTTTTTCACGCGTCGAAGATGATGGAACTTACACTCGTCGCAGCTAGTTTACAAGTTGAGGATACACGAAGATCATGACGAGCGAACCTCGTAGGTTAGGTTAAATGATTCGTGATGATACGAACCGGATGAGAGATTTTTTCGCGCCAATTTGCCATTGGCACAAGCCACGTGTACATGACGTTCCCGCTTGACGATTTGTGTATGTGTGTACATATCTCTCCCCCTCCCCTCTCATTTCAAGTACCTACTACAAAATTAACTCTCCAGCTTTCTCAACATCTATTTTCTACTAGTGTCCGTGTGTAAATAAATTTTCTGTTATAGGATTGACCATAGTTTCTAAGTTAGGAAAAATAATGCGCGTGAAATAATCGAAGCGTTAATCATATGTGTTATACGAGGAATATTTGGAGTGTAATTAAGACGAATCGGGAGTAAAGAGGCTTGTATGTGGAGAAGAAAGGCCGCGCGGTGCATTTTGAAACTGTCTTGCGGCAAGAGCCGAGGTAGCAGCGCACCCCACCACCAGCCTGAGCTTTGTCGCGTGCGTTGGTGAGCGTGCACGCGGACATGGCGTTGGGGGGTGCAGGCAGACACGCTCGTAGCACTCTTGCAAACACTGGTCGACCGGCGGGGCAGGGATATCAGATCGATACTGGGCGAAAAGCGCGGGTAGGAGAGCAGAGCATAGCGGGCGCTATACATATTATATCTCTACGGTTGGTCCATCGCAAGATCCAGAATGTCGGCTCTTTCTCTCTATGCACTCGGATGGATACGCCCGGCCGCCCCCTCCTCCCCTCTTCTTTCAATACCGAGCAAATTCATCGGATTTGCCGCGCGTCAATCTCGCCGTTTATTTAGCATATTCCGATCGGTGCAGTAGGGAGCACATAATAACGACACAAAATTTCGCCGATACTTAAATTTCATAAAAGAAAAATCGTACAGCAATCTGCTTGAGCGTAAAGCTTTTACTTTTGGCCCAAATATATTTTTACAGTAAACGTATCCTGCAGTAACTCGTATTTTCGAAACTTAAAAATTCGAGCATCTCAAATTGTTTTCATGACTTCAACCATCGGAGTCTTGAAAACTGAAATTTTTTTCTTTACAACGAAAACCCTTGAAAAACCTTGCTGATTGCAATCTTTTTTACCATTTTATTCAACTTAGAATATTAGAGTTAAATGACGAAATGTTAAGATTTCTTGAATCTTTATCGTTCAATCCTAATGTTCAAAGTTCAATAAAATGACGGAAAAAAATTGTACAAGTTTCAAGGCACCGTGTTGCAGAGGGGAAACTTCAATTTAAACTTTTCCAGTGTTTCTACGTACCTGTGAATTTTTACAATTTTTTTTTTTTTTTTCATTTTTTTTTATTTTTATAGAAAAGAACATTTGCCACATGACGTTAAAATATCTTGGAGAAAGAAACGAACTCAAGTTTTGTGCTTTAGAATGAGAAGAAGTAGGTTATTATGACTCTTTTTCTACGAAGTTATAAAAATCCAAAGCGTCGATGATTTCTCATTTAAATTAATTATACGGCGCAAAACTGACTGCACGAGAGTGGTTTGTATCTATCAGGATACCGATCGTAACACGATAGTAAAATTTTTTCCTCCTCCTCTTCTCCTTTTTTTGCATTCAACATGCAAATACTCATTAAAATATTATTTATGTTAAAATTGCGCGTTCCGTTTTGTTCATCGCTATGTATATCCGATGAAAACATTGAGGGTGTTCTCTTTCATTTTTTGTCCTTTTTTTTTTGTTTTATCTTTAGATAAACAGAAGAGTGGGAAGGTTTTATCTTTAGGTAAACAGAAAAGAGTACGGTGGAGGGGGTAAATCCTTGTAATTGCGCGGTGATTCATCATTCACATCGCCGCTCATTATTATGGAAGATAAATTATATAATTAACGTATTAGTAACGTAGAGAAAAGCAAAAAAAAGGGGGGGGGGAATAATTCGAGTAACTGGTTGGAAAGAAGTATATCTTTTTTTGTTTTGCATATAGATAAGGAATTATAGTTTATCTTTTTGTCTGATTCTTTCTTTCGTTTGTATCAGGAAAATTGTATCAGGAAACGTGGTTAGATTCGGGATACGGTCCAGCAGATTCATACGTTTCTACAACACTTTTGCTCCACTCGAACTGTATCGAGCCGCGTTCACGCAATTCATTTTCAAACGAAAGAAAATGATGTCACCGGAAACCGGCGCTTGTCCGTTGCCGTTTCTAGTTCACTCGTTCGGCCGTTTCTTCGCACGTTTCCCCTCGTCATCAGTGGCACGATAGTCTCTTCGGATGTGTATGTATATAAGTTTACATCGCGACACAAACTCCTATCTATGACGTCTCCGTGAAGTTTCTCCGATGAATTCGTATTTAAGACCCGCATGCCCGAGATCTCATCCCGACGAACTGGAATTCGTAGTTAAACCTAAGTTATCCGGATAATTCATTTCTTTCGAGAGAGAGAGAAAGAGAGATCGAACGTAAAACTAAACCATCGCCAGTTTAAAGGAAATATTCTCGTCACGTTGTTGCTGAATAGTCACGAAAGGGAAGTCGGATCGCTCCGGGAAATAGAGAAATTCCGATGGTAATTTCGAAGGCCGAAAATTCCGATAGCTAGTCAGTCTCTCGTGTGCAACTCGTTAGACTAGCCTAACCGTGCCAAAAAATCGGGACAGACACGAGGGAATTTCGGATGTGGCGAAGGAAAACAAAAAATAGCGGATTGTTTTTTTTTTTTTTTTTTTTTTTTCACTTTTACTAAAGCATCACTTTCTCAAGCGAGATTTTCACTGACGAATTTCGGTAATTGGGAAGTATTAGAAAGAAAGTCTCTTTCGTAAATGCACGATTGTGAAATAGGGATAGTGATAGAGGTACGAGAAAGACTAATCACACTGATGGAAAGATTATGAAGACATTGGGAGATCGAAATAATTCAAGATCAAATTACTTAGTTTTAGAGTTTAGAATTTAATTTAGATTTGTTTAAATTTATAATTTTTCATTTAATTGAATTTTATCATTAATCTCTGTCGTAGAAAATACAAAATACAAAATAAAATCAGATAAGCTAAATTTTAAAATATTATAATAATAATTATTAATTATATATATGTATATATAATTATAACTAATAATATATATTGTACATGTATATATAATACAATATAAGTATTATAAATAAATATTATTTTAAGTGTTATATAGTATATAACAATAATAATTTATTTATTTATATTTAGAATATATAATAAATATTTATTATTATATATACATTAATTTACTATTGCATTATTATATAATGATATTTATTTATAATACTTTTATTATTAGAAAAATAACATTATATCATACAGTCATTTATAATTCAATGATGTTGTTTGAGCATTATTAGTCTTGGATAAAATCAGTTGAATGAAAATACGATTTGTTGGTGAATCCTTTCTAATACTGATATTAATATTCGGCT